TTCTTCTAGGGATAATTCAGACGCCAATCTGTCTCTGACTACTGAGAGTGCCTCCTCCGTGGGTACCTTGGTGAACAAACACGCCACGTCCAATCTCATCATCTGATTGGATAGGATGAGAGCATGTTTGATTATTTCCACGAAGTGGGCAGAGTTTCGGACATATGAAGGAGACTTTCCGATCAATGGGTCAATTGTATCTACAAGGAAGCGACTCAGAGGGTGACACACAGAGCCTTGGCAACTAACAATCTGCCTGAGCGGAATACCGTCCTTGTGAATCTTAGAGAGACCGTATTTGTGAGGTAGTTTGGTGTAACGTTGCGATAACTGTCTATACGTCTTAGGTGCGAAGTGATCCTTGTTCTTGATTAGTATCTGTGACAGTTTTCGTTCCGTTTTCATTGTAGGATCCTTTTTTTAGTTTGCTGTAGCTACCATTGCTAATGAGGTCTTCCAGCTTTCTTGTATAATCTGATTTGTCCATCACTACAGTCGCATTGCCTTTGTCAGCCGGTAGTATGATGACGTTTTCGTTCCTCTCTAGAAATATAGACAGATACTTTCATATACTTGTTTGTGCATGCCTTGAACAACTAAGTTTGGATATTGATACTAACTAGGAAGTTACCAGTCGGTTAAAGCATCCATCAGTGTATAGAAAACACTGTTTCATGTTTAGTGGTATGTTCTGTATTGCATCACAAATAATGTGTAAAAATTTACCGTTGTCCCGCAAACAACGTGATATGTCATATGGGAACACATTTTACTTGTAATGACGGCATGTAGGTTTATTGACTAGATTATTGACTATAAGTTATTATTAAATGTATTTGACTGAGAAAAGAATTGGCAAATGTCTAGGATAAAATTGATAGGATTTGGCATTAACTTAGTAATATCTTTGATTTAATGCAGTTATGGTAATTATCGCCATCCATAACATTTGGATATAATTAGTTTATATGATTCAGTTCTATCTTCTTTTTGTTGATATATATATATATATATATATATATATATATATATATATATATAATTTCACCACAAGCAAAGCAATAAAGGAATTCTCATTACAGAAAGAACTCTTGTGAATAAGAGGTTCCTTTCTAATGTACGACTCAAAAAAATATCAACAGATACTAGAGCGTGATCCGAATTGCCATGAGGACAGAGTTGTGATGCTCGACAAAAGCTAGAAGAGGTAAGGATTAAATCAATTAAAGAAGAATGTTGTTTAGATTTATTTAGAGAAAAAGGGTGTCATTTTTATATTATCAGAGATTATGTTAAATATATTACAATCATGAGAAGAAGGTGAGCGATAAAGTAAAAAGAGATAACTAACAGTGTGCAATAACAAAAATCGAAAGCACATGAAAGAATCATCTGGGGACTCAAGAGACAGTTTCATTACAGTTGGATATAAACACCATGCATATGTATCGTACAGAGAATTCATTGGTAGCGATAGAAAAATTTTAATTAGTTTCGCAATATATCTGGAGAACGTTTCAAGAGAAATGATGATTCACTACAGATATTGAAACGAATGTTATGAATATTGCATAAAGAAAATTGATTTTTTGTGTACTGATTTACTCATATTTCTTTTCATTATATATATAAACTAGCAGTAGAGCCCGGCGTTGCCCGGGGATATAACAGTAAGAGATAGATCAAGTATCCACCATCATAAAGACTGAAAAATAAAATTGACAAAGATTATTGTTTAAGGTTGACGGACACGCATGTCTTAATTAGTTTTTTTTTTTTTTTACGAATTGGTCAAACCCAAACTCAAACAAAAACATTGTTTTCAATCGTTATGAGTCTCCCAATTGAAAAGGAATTTTATTATAAATAATTGTCTTGTAAATGGAATTTTTAAAGCATTCTGAATGTTAAAAATAAAGAAAAAAGTGTGCGTGCAAGAGAATAAGAAACACTACCTGCCACCCCTCCCCAAAAAGTGAAGTTTTGTTTTATCGGCTGAAAAATATAGGAAATCCGATGTGAGTTGTCCCCTTCCATTTTCACGATGTCTCTTAATCGTGTTTTCAAATTGACTTTGTGCAAAAACAATTATATTTTTCCCATTTTTGGCGCTGTTAGAACCACCACAAGGTAATTTTATGTAGTCCTGTGAAGTTTTGTTGAAATCGGTTGAAAAATGTAGGAAATCCGATCCAATATATCAACGTTACAGACACACACACACACACACACAATCTGCGTTTTATAATAAGTAAGATAAAGCGTAGAGTAGTTGAGTATGTGTTTGTGTGCAAGTTACATAATGCTTAACGACTCGGTGCGAGAAATCAACGAGCTATGTTCGAAATTCAGTCGCATTCTTCGAAGTCACTTTCGTGCTACTACAACTGGGAAAGATGTGAATCCATATTTTCCCAACTTTGGATTAAATAGTAGGACAGACAAGGCTCTTCAACCTTAGTTGGCAAGTAATGGGGAGAGTAACAGGATACCACTACATGTTATCACTCCATTAAAAGGCGATCCAACTGGCAATCCAAAGTTTTGTTTATAAAAATTATTATTAAATGTGAAATACCATTGATTTCTGACGAGACGGCATATTTTTATTCTTCGCTGTTGAGAGGGATAGGTTTCTCTTTGATTGTGCTGGATACTCTTTAAAGATATTTAAGCATTTTTCAGCAGGGACGTTAGTGTAAAGTGATTTTATATCTAGACTGGCCATGAGTTTGTCAGTCATATTTGTGTCCCTTAGTTTTTCATCTAGCTTGCCTGAATGTTTTTATATGTGATGGACTGATTGTTCCAAGAAGGCTTAAATGTTTAGAAAGTTCTTTAATTGCTAGTTATTCCGCAGTAAATTTACATCTAGGTTCTTACAATTTTCACCATTCTTGACTAAAGGACGATACGCGTTACACGAAAACTTTTCCACTTTATCGTACATTCTTCCTTATATATATGAATATAATTAGCCTTGAACGATAGTTTATATACAGTAGCTAAAATATACTATATGTATCCCAATATATATATATATGTGTGTGTGTGTGTGTAGGAGTATGGAAGTCTACTGAATATGTTTCGGATAGCTTGGAAGTAAGTAATATTAAGGCCTACCCTTCAGAAAAATAAAAGTTGTATTAGTGTTTTTATGGCATCCCAATATGAAATTACTATTACAACTATACAACGCCGCGTAGAATGCAAATGCAAAAATACACTAATTGATCTGAAACTCTAGAAAAATATACTGTATACAATAGTTAGTATTTACCTAGAATGCCATGCGCTAATCTAAAATATATGACGTATTTCGGAAGTTCTGAGTGAAAATGTACAAATTCGGAATCAGCGTACCAGTATTAGTCTAGTACAGATTCGAATTTTATCAGTATCTATGTAAAATCTTTCAGTATATATAAAGTAATCTATGTATATCTATATATTTATCCAGACTTCTGAAGTTTATCTGATTATTCATATTTATTGTTCGTGTGCAATCTATCTATCTGCATAAGTTAACCTATGTATCTCCACATGGGAACCAATCAGCATTTCACTTGACTATATATGCCTGTCTTATTACTCACCTTCACGTTGCTGTTGTTTTAAGCTCTTTTATACATGTCAAGATACCCACGCTTCTTATGAATACTGCATTTGTGAACAGAAGAGAAGTTGAAAATAGTGCATTTGTCTCTGGCTCATCTGGTTTCTTCGATGTAAGCACAAGATTCCCAGTGATTAGTGTCAGAACAGGTTGTTCACCAAAAACGTTAAGGAAAAAATGAAGGAATCAGGATTTTGTACGTCTTATGCTCAATTAACGCTGTGGTGCATGCTAAGCGTACAGAAGATGCGAGGAAGCAGCATCAAAGAGGAAGTTTCCAACGAACAATACGGATGGGTTGGAAAAAGTAATTGCACTGTATTGGAAAATGAGAAGGAGAGAGGAACATCTTGTTTGAACAAATAAAGACATGAATAATATATATATATATATATATATATATATAGAGAGAGAGAGAGGGGGGGAGGGAGGGAGAGAGAAAGTATACGTAATCAGTAAGAATTCATGTAAAATGTATTAAATTCTGTCGATAAAGTCTGCCTGTTTAAGTATTATTGTAGTTTTCGAATTTTCAAATAACATGTTTATCAAAATCATGATTGTATAAACAGTTAAAAGTTCATGTTTTGTTCTGTTTTTCTTAAATTACTTTCAAATGCTTCTGTCTGGACAGTTAATATGGTGGACAGGATTCTGTTCGCTGCATCATATTTTTGAAATCCTACGATTCACATTCATTCATTATACGTGAATCTTATAATTGATGCGTAACTTTATAATCTTTAAAGGATTTTACGAAATGAACACATGTGATATTCTTGATATAAAGAAAACTGAAGCACCATCAACTTTTTCTACTGGAACCATATGCAACCTAACTAAAAAAAAACACCTTATAATTTATATGCAAAGATTAAAACACCTAATTATTGCTAATAATCTACAAAATTTTTCCCTATAAAAAAATAATGATTTTTAGGAATTCTCATGTGATTTTAGTGATTGCACATGCGATATCGTTACTCAAAAACAAAATTTAAGTCTTTCATTGAACGCTCATGTACCAGGCGATCTGGTATGTTAACTTGTCACTTAGCGTAATTCGTTCATATATCGATCATCACACCAGAAAAAAAAAACTAAATAGTACTTGATTGATTCCTTTTTTACTTATCAACCCTTTGCAGGTTATTTAAAACCAGAAAATATTTTTTTTATATTGTATGAATTTTTGTTCTTTTTGAAGATGATTTTCGTGATACAATTAATCAATAACTGGGTTCGGGTGAGCAGAGGAAGATTCCCACCTATCCCAAAGGTATTTGCGCATAAGTGAATATAATGAACCCAACTGAAAATGGAACTCGGCTCCCCGATTAACAATTCCGAGCCATTATTCATTACAGCACCCGCACATCCAATCTTACAACACTTGGTATTCCCAAGTGATCACCCATCCATCCATGCTTGACTTTACTTAACTTTGGTAATCGTACGGGAACCGGTGTTTCAACCTAATATGGCCGTAAATCATGCAAATAGTACTTTTTAATCACAAAACACAATCACCCTCACTCTAAGGAAAGATTCAGTATACTAATTTATCCAAAGGAAACAACAAGCATTAATCATATCACATCACAGAAGACGGTATTATTAACAATGTATTAATATTTTAATATTTAATAATAATAATAATAATATGTATAAGCATTTGATACATTCTTTACAAGTGAAATGAATTCTTTGGAAGACGTCTTACACATGACGCCATTTATATGATACGCGTTTATTTTAATTAATCTGAATTCTAACATGTCAAAACATTCTAGGAATTAGAAAAAACTTGTCTGCCATACTAACAATATCCCGTTCTTGATAGACGTTCGAAAATTCTTGCATAGTTTATCCACAATTGCGATTTTGATGTAATGTAATATTCGCGAAATATAAAAATATAACATAAAAAAATTGTGATGACAGGTGTTGTCGATTTAATTAAAAAACTTGTTTGTTTAAGGAATAGTCCGGGCGTGCAGGATGAAACCACTCATAAATTTTGATTTAGAAAAATACATTCTCATTTTTTCTCCCTCTTCAGATCAACAAGAAAGGCAGTTCAAAGAAGAAAAACAATGCTCAGGGTTCGTGAGATCTTCAATCTCACGAACCCTGAGCATTGTTTTCCTTGTTAGTCTGATTAAACCGCATAAATGTAGGCTGCTGCTGCTACAGAGAGAGAAAGATGCTCTCCAATCTCATGAAGCAGTTTGGAAATATGATTAGGGCGATAGTTATTATTAGGATTAGGTTTACTACTAATATTAGAAGGTTTTGCATTAAATTTCAGATTAGTTTTATTATGATTATTTTATTTAATGCTTATATTGTGGTAGAGTTAGATTTCACTTTGCTGATAGCAGTATATTAAGGTTAGTGTTACCGTTGTAGTTATGGATAAGGTTATACTTAAAGTGACATTTATGTTTGGTGATAAGTATAAGCTACGTTTAGTATTAGGGTTACAGTCGGTGACAGGCTTAAGTTAGGATTTAGTGTTAGCGTAAGTATTAGTTTTAAGTTTACTGTTTAGTGTCGAGTGTCAAGTTTAAACCCGGCTTTAGGATTAGTGTTAGTATTAGTGATAGATCAAGTAAAAGCGTTAAGATGTGGTTAGGTTTAGATATAATGAGAGCTCTAGTATTAGGATTCGTGTTAACATTACTATTAGTGTTAAGACTATGGATATAGTTAAGGCTTGGCTTAGGCAGAGTGTTAATTTTAGGATAAGTGTCAGTTTTATGTCAGGTGTAGTGTAAATATTAGTGTTAAGGTTCATGGTACATGTTAGCTTTCGGCATTAGTACAATAAGGTTGTTGGTAAAGATAATTTCTGATCAGTTTCATTTTTAGATTAAGTTAAGATTTAGATTTTATGAAGTATTAGTGTTATCTGGTTTAGAGTTAAGGTTACGGTCATCGGTAAGGTTTAACATTAGGGTTAAAAATAGCCCTTGAATTAAATTTTGAGTTAGGGTTATTATTATGGTTACTATAATATTTGGTGTTAGGGTAGGTGTTAAGTAAGTGTCAATATTTGGGTTAGATTTATGATTAGGGTTACAGTTAGTATAATATTACGATTACATTTCAAGTTAGTGAAGGTCAGGGTATTCTTAATCATTTGTGCAGGATTAGTGTTAGATTTAGTATCAGTATTCCTAATAGTATTAAGCTTAAGGGTTATATATATATATATATATATATATATATATATATATATATATATATATATGTGTGTGTGAACAATAAAAAATATTAAAAAATTAAAATCTTCAGGTACACTGGGTTGTATATTAATATTCTTTCGTTTTTATTATTTCAGTTAGATTCAGTTATATATATATATATATATATAGATAGATAGATAGATAGATAGATAGATAGACAGATAGATAGATAGTTTATCTATTCTACATCCCTATTTGCTAGAAAAATAATAACAATTCTCATACAAACTAAGAACAAATGTGTCATCAGCATAGCCACCACCTTATCATCGGTACTGTGACCTCTGGAGGAAAAGCAGTAGCACTGTTTTCTATTAGTGTATTTATTTGGATTTGATATAGAATGCTTAAATGATCAGGGCTTTTTTTTGCTTCTGGGATTTTTCTTGACACTTATATTATATATATATATATATATATATATATATATATATATATATATATATATATATATCATATTATAATCACGTTTGAAATGAAATCACTTGATTTCATTTCAAACGTAACTATAATTATTCCATCTACTGAAAAACGCTACAGTGTTGTCCCTACAATATATATATATATATATATATATATATATATATATATATATATATATATATATATGAGTGGGATTAATATGAGTAAAAGTTTGTCACTTAGCTGACTGATGTTATCTTCAGCATCCCGACTCCAGAGTTTCGTAGGCAAATCTGTCCGTTCACTTTCAGGGGGTATCAGCAATTTACAATATTTTTTTTTCTAATTTTTCCTTTTTATACATTTATAACACTGGTGTAAGTTTTTCTGTATTGTTTTGTGTTCATGTGAATGTTTGTGCCCATGCAACCATGCGCTAATAGATTCAATTTTTTCATCCTTTTTAGAACATTCGAGATTTTGGTTAAAAATCTTGTTTTTCTTGCGTCAGCGGAATGCCATTAAAATACTGCGGTGACTTGTTTTTGAATTGTTGACTGAGAGTTACATCTATATAATGACAGCATAGATCGGGGGATGTTATCGGACGGAAGAATAGGAGGGACATTTTTTTCCGAATTTTAAGTGAACTAATTTAACTACACAATATTTTAAAAAATTAACAAATACTTCCAGCAATCTAATATTTTGCTTATTTTTTTTTACATTTTTAGGCACTTTAGCTTTATAACCTTATGTTTAAAGATGATTTCTGGAAAAATAAAATACTAAAAACAAAATAAATTTAAAATTTCATAACTGAGAGTGAGTCAAAAATTCATAAGAGAGGTGTTTAATTTTTACGCAGATCTCTTATAAAATTTTATGGTATTACTTTTATTTATTATTAATTTTTGCATATCAGTTATGAAAGAAATTCACAACTCAGATAATATACAAATTAATAATTAAAATAATACCATAACATTTCTTAAATAAGATAGGTAAATAATAATTATAGGTACCGCTATCATTTTTCTGAAACGTTATTTTTTTAAGGTGTTAAATTTTAATTTTTCTTATTTTTAATATTAATTGTTGTAAATTTTGTATTAATTATGTAATCATTTACAGTTTTTTTTTATTTTACTTAATCATAGCCCACTAAAATTAGAAGTGTAAAAAAACTGCAATGAAACTGATTTCAGACTTTCGTGAAATTTGGTCGCTCTTTTTTTAAAATATTCTAACGAATATATGACCAAAGCCTGAATCAGTGTTTTAATCCCTAAAATTGAAACTAAAAAAGAAAATAATGAAAATGTGACGATGATGGTCAAAATCAGTCAAAAATGTGTTTGCAGTACGAAAATGAATATTTCTGAGATCGGTTTATTGCTTTCAGGGGAAAAAATTCTTAAAACACGTGATTTTCTTATGCCACGTACGATCGTCTATATATTTTGAAAATAAAAGTTTTTATGCACACTCGAAAAAAGTGTAAAATTCTTTTTTTAAAATACATGTGCATCGCTGATTGTAATAAGCTTTCAAATTTATGATCTGTAAAGATAGATCTTAATAAAAATATTCCCTAAAAATTACGGATTGAAACTTAATTTTAAGATATTTAACAACTGACGCAAAAAAGAAACAAGATATTTAACTAAAATTTTGATTGTACTAGAAAGGATGAAAAAATAATAAAATAATCAGAAAATACGCTTTAAACCGTTGTATCTTAGAAATGATTAAAGATATCCAACTGGAATTCTCCGAGGTTTTTATAACACTATTAAACTCTACATTGATAAGAATGTATAATTACTCTACACGTTTAACAGAAGAATCGTGATGAAATCGATCATAAACGAAAATGACATGTTCATCATTAATTAATCATAGCTAAGAATCGGAAGCTCATGAAGGATTGAAATAATGTTCATATATATATATATATATATATATATATATATATATATATATATATATATATATATTATTCCAAGGTCATTTTGCAACTTATTCTTGATGATCTAACCTTCTGTCCTATAGTAACAAGGTGTCTCTGAGTTATAGATTGAGTTATATCTTTTTCTAATTGATCCCTTTAGCTCTAAGTTGAAATGACGATCCCTCCTCCTGTTGTGACCTGCTGACCCAGTTTTCCTCTCTACTGTTCACACTTTTCTAAACTTATTCACCGTTTTCTTGATGTTTCTTGAATGTACTTTGAACATGGAAGCTAGTGTATGAATGTTGATACCATTACTGAAGGATTGAATGATCTTTTTCTATTACTGTTGGGAAGACAGTGGGTCTCACACAAAACCATTTTAGCCTGTTCTCTTTCTAGCCGAAAACCAAAAGATTTTCCGTGTTTCTTACAACAAACGGTGTCAAGATGACTAAACATCTTATCTGAACAACTGGAAAAAAGAAATTCAATAAGTTTAGTCGTTTTTAGATATTAAACATGGAGATGGACAATTATACACGATTTGGCCAACTTAGCTGTTACATAAAGAAAGATAAAACTGAATCATGGAATCTTTATGCAATCATTTTCCTTTTCCAACTTAGTTTATTGAAATTTGAAGGTTAATTCGAATTTCAATGTTGTTTTGCATTTATTTCTATCTAGATTTCACCACATATTTATCCTTAAAAAAATTAAACGTTATATTACTTGGAGTATTTTTCGCTTTTATAACGCTCATGTCAAAAAATAATACTAAAGTGAAAAAAGTATGTAGTATTCTAATTCATATCGTAAAGTAAAATTTAGTTAAGTATAATAAATATGGCAATATAAAGATTTTAAATCAGTTTAGTA